TGTACATGGATAATTATGCCATGTTAGATGGAATTATGACCTTGTATTTGTGTTTATTTTGAGATTGAGTTTTGTTTGAGATATGATTAGCTATCAAGTTGATAAAGGGTCCAATTTTATTGGTTAACCTTGATTGTCACTTGACTGGATTAAGAGACTCTTGGAGAAGTGATTGCATTGTCAGAGTACTACCTTCATCAATGAATTTACATGATGAGTTCACAACTGAATGGGCAATGAGGAGGTGGGTCTGGTTGGGCACCGTGGGTATGTGACTTTGAGGACTATATTTAGATCCTGGTCTCTTATTCTCAGACTGTTCCCCAGCTCTCTTCTTGCAGATGCCATGAGGTAAGCAGCTATCTTCTGTTATGGCTTTCCAGTGTGATGTTTCTGATTTGGAACCATATGACTATGGACTGAAAATGAGATCCTAAATAAAGCTCTCCCCCTATGAGTTGTGGTTGTTTAATATTTTGTCCCAAGAGTGGAAAGCTGACCAATACATACTTTTTGATGAGGATCAGAAAAAAGAGGCATGATTATGGAAGTAAAGGATCACAGAGAAGCTTGCAGTATTATTTGACTTGTAGATGAATTAAAGCACCATAAGCCAAAGCATGGAGGCACTTGAGGCAGCAGAGAAAACAGAAAAGCTATTTATTCCATAGAGCACTTCAGAAAGTCATGCAGCACTGTGGACATCTTGATTTTGGCCCAAATGAATCCAATTTCAAACTCTGATCCTCATAACTTTTAAATGATAATTTTATGTTGTTTTAAGTAATCAAAGTTGTAGTACTTTCTTACAGAATCAACAGGAAATTAAATAGGCTGTCATTCACAAAATACAAGATAACTTTAACACCTATAAAGATTAAAAATGCAATAGATTAATAAAGATCAAGTAAATTATTGATGAGTTCATAAGGATAATGAAAAAATCCCATGTCATTTGTTGTATTTAAAATGGTAAAAAAAAAAGGAAACCATTAAAAATTTTCTTCCACATTTCCTGTACCAACTATGTCCCAGGAAGATGAAATAGTTGTGAGGAGGAATATTCTATATTTATAAATGTATTCTAAACAGTAAGAAATAAGAGACATGGACTCCACCATCTTTCAGGCCTAACAAATCACTGGACTTAGTTCAGTAGCTCTCTGCTGAAGGAAGTCTTGGCAATGCCTGGTGGATTACTGTGGTCTAGTAGGTAGAAGTCAGGAATGTTGCTAAGTATCCTACAATGCACAGGATATCTCTCCAGCAAAGAATTATTCGGCCTAACATGTCAGTAGACATCTGTTTCCTTTAAGAAACATAAACTAGTGCAATAAGCCCTGGAAAGAAAGAAATGAAACATCATGCATCAGCTGTAGAACTGTAGTCAATGTCTATGAAATTCTATTGTCAGAAAGAAAATAAGGTTAAATTCTATTGAATAGGAGATATAGGATCAAGAATATAAAACTATACTCCCACGACATCATTAAAATATCCAGAGTGCACGCAAATTCCAATTGGGTCAAACAATGCAGTTCTACTCAAAAAATAATTTAAATGGTAAGGGTGAGGAAGTGACAATAAAACTATACTGTAAAAGAGGCATAGTAGATAATGGTCATAGAAATTTCTTATTGGGACTTTTGTTTAAACAAAATATAATTTTACATATATTAAACTTTTTATTTAAAAATTCTGCTGATGATTTACTGGTTATTAGTTTCTGAACAAGATTTTATTTTGAACACTTTTTAGTGACTTTTTTTAAAAAGTTCTTAAATATGACTATCTTGTTTAAAATTTTATCTTATTTTAGCCCTACACCAATACTTTCCACTTTTCTATTGGGAATATCTTTCATGAGCAATTGATAATTGCGAATGGCTATAGTCTCGAGTAATTTAATTCATGGAAAATTCAATTAACTAAGAAATTGCATCCCTGAGAAAATGCCAGGAAAATGAAAAAAAAGGTAAAAATTCAACAGATGAGATATGAGACAATAATAGCCTGTTACTACATAGCAAATGCCTATCCTCAGTATTTATGCTTCTTAGAGTGAAGATTTGAATAATCCTTCATTTAAAGACACCAAACAAGCTGAAGAGTTGTCGGAGGGCAAAGAAATCATGGGATGATTAGTAGAGCAAAGTCACACTGTGATCATACAGTTAGTCATGAAAATAAGGATATAGTATTTCCATATATTTTTCTTCCTGATGTATCATGTGTATACTTGCATACTTTATTAATTTTCTTCTTTCCTCTCATTCCCATATCATTATATACAGGCTATATTCATGGTAGTAAATTTTCCAATTTAGTACACAATTTAGAGACTCTTCAGAGAGAACCATAACATTTTAAAGGAGGAATAAGACCCATGTTGAATTCTAATCTGGAAATTCTTAAATCTCTCAAGTTACATGGTTTGACTTGACTTTCCTGTTTCCCATCGATGCAACCACAGTTCAGTTTCCTCTAGTGTCTCAACAGTTATTTCTGGAGCAGCCCATTTCTTGTCTCCTTGCTCTAGCCTTTTCTTCCACTTTTTCACTTGTTAGAGTTGTTGGGGAATTTGAGAGACAGGAGAGACCACTGGGAAACAGGAGGATTTATCTTAGGTGAACACCACCTCAATGGACTAATGTCCAGAGGAAGAATGTTGAACAAAGAAAAGTTTCAGTTTTTATACATTTGGTTGAAGGTGTTGGTCTTTCTAGCGATGAGGCAAGTGAGTTTACAGAAACAGAACAAGGCAGTTTTACAATTCAGCTTTGAAAGAAGGCAGAACTTTGTGAACCTTGTGAGAACAAGATGGCATAAACTTTATTGACAAGATATAGTTATCAATTTTATCTGTACCAAAATGAGGAGTTATACCTACAAGGGAGGGGGGTGTGATCTGGGGGGCGGGCACTATCCAACGCTGGGAAAAACTGTTTGTCTTTAAGTCCTGCTTCAGAGTGACATTTCAAACATGAAATTTTTAAAGTCAACTTTTTCTAAAGAGTCCTTACTAGCTCTCCATTGCTATCACAATAATTGGCATCGATGCCTTCCAGGATCTAACCATGTCTACCCACCTGCTATTATCTTTACTGCTTTTCACTTTTATCCACCCTACAATTGAGCTCTCCACACCTTTGGATTCACATAGTTGACTTCATCTCTACACCTCTGTACATGTTGTTCCCTTGCTGGGCACCTTGTCATCTGCATAACTGGATCTAATGGTTCTAGACTCAAACTAAGGGTTCTATTATAGGAAGACTTCTGAAATCATCCCCAATAGACTCACTCTCACTTTAATACATATTAGAATGCATTATAATTATTTCATTGTCTGTCATCCTTCTAATGCATAGATACTCTTGTTAGGACTGTACTATATCAACTATTGTGTGCATGAACATTCATCGACCGTGGGACACAGTCGACATTCCTATTGCTTTGACATCAATAGATACTTTGCTAGACATGACATTTTTGAATGGCTGCCTATCTTGCAAGAATTTGTATTGTATTATTATGAAGGTAAAATTCAAATTTCAAATGGTATGCAGACTGTATGAGTCTGACTCTGCCTGAACCATGAGGTTCTATGACACTGTTGAGAAACATAACAATTGTCAATGAACTTACTTAAAGGAGAGACATCAGGAAGAAAATATGTAGACACTTCTTCTTTTTCTTCTTCTTCTTCTTCTTCTTCTTCTTCTTCTTCTTCTTCTTCTTCTTCTTCTTCTTCTTCTTCTTCTTTTTCCTCTTCTTCTTCTTCTTCTCCTTCTCCTTCTCCTTCTCCTCCTTCTCCTTCTTCTTCCCAAGTCCTATTCACTTCTTTCTTTCTTTCTTTCTTTCTTTCTTTCTTTCTTTCTTTCTTTCTTTCTTTCTTTCCATTATTGAGGCTTTCTATCAGAGATGAGGTCCATTCTTAAACCAAATCACTAAGATTACAAAGGCTGACCAGTACCTGGTGTGTGTGTGTGTGTGTGTGTGTGTGTGTGTGTGCATGTGTGTATAAATGAGAAAAATGTTTAAAATGTTGGGAGTAACATTACCACTGCTGACTGAACTACCTGGCTCCCCCAAATTACTATTAAAATTTTTTTATCTTTCATTGGACTCGGTGATGAGTCTGCCCTTTCTTAAATTAACTAGGCTTTTGATATCTTATTCTTCACTTCATAATTTATGTGTTTATTTTATTACCGAAGTTCCAGAGAAAGTTCATGGATTGTACAAATTGAAGAGTTTTAACATTCTAAATGATACTCCTTATGCATGTAGTAAAATTCCTTTCAAATTGCTTGACTACCGTCAGTGCCTGAATCTTAGCTTTTCCATGGCCAGTAATATAGCTTTGTATAAAAAAACCTTTGGTTAGGTTGCTATCAGAGTAAACAAGACCTTCACTTGATCTTTCTACAGTTGCTACTGTCAGGGTTGACTGAAAGGCATTACACACACGTTTAGTAGGTTCTGTACGAAAACGTTTCCATCTGTCTTGCAAACAACACTCTCCAGAGAATGTTGCCTCTCACATGTCATGGCTAAACATGTCACACATTGTTTTAAGTGAGTGTCCAAATGTGAAAAGCCATTTTGTTTCCATGGGAAACATTACAACCCTTTTCAAAATGTGTTTGTATAAGTTCCTGTGGCACAAGATAAGACCCATGGATAAGTCTATGATTATAAACAATGTCAATTATCAAAAATGTGAGCAATTTTTTCCAATTATTGCCAGGCCATAGAAATGAATGAACTTCCATGTGGAAGTTCTATGACAGCAGTGCATAACTTCACTGAACATGCTGCTGTGCCATATCACTACATCCACCCCCAACACAATCACTTGGCCTCCTACATAACATGACCAATACACATTACAACTTCTTCACATTTGCCATGGTAATGCAGTTCATATTGTCTTATCTGAGAAGAGTAGAGAATACTAGGGCAAAGCTCTTTTCTTCAATGATGCCCATAAATCATCAAGTTGACAGTTTTGATGTTAATCCAGAAAATTGTACTAATACTTTCTGCCAGGCCCCTTTCACCTCTTTATTCCTTAGACTATAAATCATAGGGTTCAGCATGGGGGTGAAAACAGCATAGAAAAGAGAGATCAACTTGTCCTGAAGGACAGAAGAACTGGAGTGGGGCTGGGTGTAGGTGAAAATGGCCATGCCATAGCACAGGGCAACCACAGTGAGGTGAGAGGCACAGGTATGGAAGGCTTTCCTTCTCCCCTCTCTAGACTGTATCTTTAGGATGGTGGAGATGATCTGGATGTAGGACAAGAGAACCAGGAAAAAGGGGGTCATCAGCAGCACAATGCTAGAAACCATGATGGCCACTTCATTGGAGGAAGTGTCCACACAAGCCAGCCTGACCACAGCTAGTAGTTCACAAGATATATGATCAATATACTTGTTTGTGCACATGGGTAGCTGAAAGGTGATAGCAGTCTGCATAAGAGAGTTGGTGGAGCCACTGACCCATGATGTAATGGCCAATTTAGCACACAGTCCTGAATGCATGATAGAAGAATACCTCAGGGGGTCACACACAGCCACATAGCGGTCATAGGCCATCACTGCCAGCAGAACAAACTCAATCCCACCCAAGGCCAAGGAGAAAAATAACTGGGCTGCACAGCTCAGAAATGGGACTGCTTTATGTTCTGCAAGAAAATGCACCAGCAGCTGAGGGACTATGCTGGTGGCATAAGACACATCCACAAGGGAGAGGTTGGTGAGAAAGAAGTACATGGGAGTGTGGAGTCTGCTGTCCAGTCTGATCAGAAGAACAATGAGGAAGTTCCCCAGCACTGTCACCAGGTACATGACCAAGAACAGGACAAAGAGTGAGGCTTGAATATCCCAGTCACTGGATAGGCCACGGAGAATAAATTCACTCACCCACGTGTGATTATTTGTTCCCATTAAAAACTGTTAATCTGCAATCAGAGTCAGAAATAAGAGATAAGAGAACCATAAAATATGTTTTTGTAAATATATCTTCAAAAACCAGCCACCTTGACCAGGTATTTCAGATCATGGATTGGGCAAGAAGATGGCTTGAACCTGGTATTCTTTTCATATCTATTTTGCACCAGAAAGACAGTGGAATACCTTCATGAGGACGTAACTCCTTATCAGGAAGGTCACTTGTACCTTGGAGATAATGCATTGCAATTCCAATAGCTCTACCATTTTACTAACTTACCTCAGATTCTGGGGTAGGGAGAAAATGGCACGTGACAGTGATAGGTAAAATCATACACAATTAAGAAGACTGTGGTTGGGCAATTAAAAATTATCTTCAGTGAGTCCAGTAGATCCTACTTGGTGAAATGTATAAATCTAAATCAGGGAAAGATTTGAAAGAAATACGGATCTGAAATCAGAAAATATTGGTTTAAAATGTAGTTTTATTAGGTAGTTTTACTATGTTTCTTCAGAGATAAAGTTTAGTATATAAAGAGCACGATAACACAAATAAGCTCAGATAACATATGTGGAAAGTACTTTTGAATCGTTGACAGTAGAACTGTAGTCATATGGATGTTACCAGCAACAGGACCTCTGTTTTAGAGTTGATAAAGCAGCAGGTATTATTAGTGCTTCAACTCTGTAAAGAACAAATCAAAACTGTTTCAGAAATGCTTATCTCCTGCAAGGACCACACATCATGTGTAAATATGTTTTTCATGGACTCTTCCCTAATACCATCCTTGAGATCTGACCTCCTTCTCAACAGTCCCTTGTTTGCTTGTTTATCCTGATACTTCATCCTCTACTTTTGCTGCTTTTCTAAAATCTTAATCAGCCTGAGAAAATTCCACATTGTCTCAAAAAATCTAAATTTAAATTCTAAACCCTTAAAAATAGTTCATTTAAAAAATCTGTGAAGTGTTCTTGAATATGCTATAGGTCTGTATCTAAGTTAGACATTTTTCCCATTAATTTGGAAAATATATTTGAAGTACCACCTTTGCTACAAGTGCCAGGGTGAATATTACCTTTCCCTGATCAGATCTAGTAATTGAAGGAAAAGACACAGAACAAATTGCTGTTGCATCGTGGGCTGCTTCCTGGAGCACGGGCAAGACCATGCTCACCATACTCATCTTGAATGGCCATCCATCTCCGCTACATCCCTGTCTCATTACAAATGAGTGACAGTGTCACATCCTAGAAATAGCATAAATTTCACAGCCCATCAGCTTGTGTTTAAACCCACATCCCTTGCATCTTGGGGCCTGGAGATATCTACTTAGCCTCTTTGAGCTGCATCTTTCTTCATCTTTAACCCGTGCATAATATTAACTAAGTAGAAGGGTCACTGGGGAAACCAAAGGTTGAAGGATTACAGTTCCTGCATGAGGGCCTGCATAGGGAGGTGCCCATTACTAAGTGATGATAATTAGTCTTGATTTCATGCTCTCTACCTCTTTCAGGATCCCTTTTCTTCACAATTATCCCTCTCTACCACCCTCAGATTTCTGTATCTCCAGAGTGGCTCCTTCTTTTTCTTTATAAAAGGAAATATATAGATATTTCCTTTGTTATCAAAGTATTTACATAACAAGTTTTTCAGTTTTAGGAGAGGAAATTTTGCTATACATTTATCATTCTAAAACTCTGTTTTGCATCTGGAATTATTGGTGTCCATTTTCCAGATTCATGTCCTATTATTCATCCTGTTGGTCATGGAAATTTCTACTCTCATTAATCAATAAAATTTGAAAACTTGAAAGCTACTGATAATCTTCCATCATTAACTCCAGAGATTTCATCATATCTTTATTTCTTCTTTATTTTTAACAACGTTGTCTATTCCTTGAAACTCTCAACTCTGTGTTATGCTTCTCTCCTGCTTTCCCCTCAGTCTAATTTTCCTCTTTGCATTTTTAAAATCTCTAAATCCTCTACTCTATTGCTGTGAGCATTGTCTAAGATTCTCTGCTCACCAAATGTGCATATGCTCTATTAAGCAACTTGATAAATGTTTCCTAAATATCTCACTAACAATCATGTTCATCTGTCCACAGCCTTGATTTCCTCCTGAGCTTATTTCTAGCAATAGAACTAGAATATTCCCATTGCCCCAGTAAATTATGTTTTGGCTTTTCCTCTTTCTTACCACTCCACAAGCTCTCTATAAATGCTTTTCCTTTATATCTTTTACTACATATCTCTCTTCTCTTCCCTTGCTCTTCATACATACTTAGCCTCCCTGGCTCTATGCCCATGTTATATGGGCAAGAGATTATGTGTTAATTTCCCTCGTGTAACCTCCAACTACTCCAAACATCATACACTTTATCTCCAAATTAATAGTGCAAAATACAAATGTATTCATATCATTTTCATGTATAAACATTATCTATAATATCTAAGTATATACAGAATTAAATTAATCTTGGACAGAAAGGTTTTCACACCATCTATAATCTAGTCTTGTCTTACTGCTTATTTTGATTTTGTTAATTGTAGCAATTATCTTGCTGTGTGTTTTACAGAAAGAATTTTATTGAAATAGCTTTCTAACACTTCAATACCTTTTACTGATCAGTAGGCAATTTTCTAGGTTATAAAATAATTAATATCCAAATATACACTTTTTCTTTACCCTTTTTGGACTCATGTTAAAGAAAATAGAAATATCATCTTCAGTTGGAAAGCCAATTGAAGGAAATATGTTGGCCAGATATTTTAACACATCTTAAGTTAATAGCATCTTCATATTACTTCACCCTCCCCTTCCATCTAAATATAATTCCATTTCCACCCTTACTTTACAATAAGTGGAATAGATGCCCAAAAATACAGTTCATGTCTAACTTCTCCCCTCAGGAAGCTAGAGCTTGATCTTTTCAGCTGTAACTAATTTGTAGATTCTATAGCTCTCACTAAACTGGTGTTTTTCATTGAAGTAAAAACACTAAGCAAAAAATGTGAGGAATATTTACTGTATTTATACACACAAACATGACAACAAAAGCCTCTTAACACAGTGTAGACTCATGGACCATGGTTCTGTGTTCAGATCACATTTGTTTTAAACACTGAACATAGCTTATTGTCGATGCTATTGAACTCTTCTTCATATCCAAGTCTGCTTTACAGTCTCCTCTCAGTATTTGTTCAATTCCAGGTATTTCACTTGTCTGCCAGACATCTAATGCTCTTGTAACAAACAATAAAATCCCCTCTTTTGCATTCTTTGGGTGATATCCTCATATTCACTAAGCATCAAACCATACCCTCTACACATTTTAAGAGCTCTTCTACTCAAAAATAAGCAATCCAAGCTGCTAGCTCAGAGCATCAGATTGAAGAATGATGCATCCTCGCTGTTCATCTTCTTAGACATAAGCATAATGAAGGAACAATTTCCTTTTGCCTATGTTTTATGAATTGCAGTGAATTAGAATAATTAATGTGACCATAATGAATAAAACATACTATATAATAGCATTAAAAAGCTTTTGGGTCAGGGGGATAGCTCAGATATAGGATTACATGTGCAAAGCCCTGGGTTTGACCCCAAGCATAAGAAAAAGATAGAGGTCAGGGGGAAGGAGGGAGAAAGGAAGGGAGGGAAAGAGGGAGGGAGGAAGTGAAGAAGGAAGGAAGGAAATAAAAAATAAAAAGTTCTCATTCAAAGAGTGCATGAAAAATTACTAGATCCTTAAAACACTACCATTACTGCTTGAAATTTGTTATGCTTTTGTTGAACAAGTTTTTTTTTCTGTGAACTGTTTAACAATGAAATAATTCTAAATGAGAGATTAAAATATAAAATGCCTAAACTTATTGCAAACTAGTATATAAGCTTGCACTTGTCCTTTAAAATCTGTCAGACACAAGTTGAAAAGGGGAGCTTTAATGTGAATGACACAGAAACTGCAGAAGTTGGAGAAGTACAGACAGCAAATATCAGAATTTCTCAGTTAAAAGATTACCTTTAGATTTCACCCAAAGATCATCTGAAGGAAAATAGTCTGGTGATTGGGTTTTATGCATTGTCAGAATAATTAAACTAATGTATTTGAAATTTTATCACGTGAAGGTAAAGAAGAAAGCTGTTTCATTCAAACGTAAAGTCTGGTTTGGGAAAGAGGGCCTTTTGAAACTTCTTGGAGGTTTTAAAGAGACTTTCAGCAAGCCTATCCAGGTTGGAGTGATTGGTATCCCAAATGTGGGGAAAAGTAGCATCATTAATAGCTTAAAACAAGAATGAATTGTAATGTTGGTATATCCATGGGGCTTACAAGAAGCATGCAGGTTGCTCCCTTGGACGAACAGATCACAATCATAGATAGTCCAAGTTTCATTGTGTTACCACTTAATTCCTCCACTGCACTCGCTCTGTGGAGTCCAGCAAGTATTGAGGTAGTAAAGCCACTGGAGGCTGCCAGGGTCATCCTGTCCCAGGCTGATGCTAGACAGGTAGTTCTAAAATATAATGTCCCACACTATAAGAATTCTCTGAAATTTTTTACTAATCTCGCTCAAAGAAGAGATCTGCACCAAAACGGTGGAAGCCCAAATGTTGAATGAGCTGCCAAATTGCTGTGGTCTGAGTGGACAGGTGCTTCATTAGGTTACTATTGCCCAACCCCTACACTCTGGATTCCTCCACCACATTTTAATGAAAATATTGTGGCAGACATGAAAAGGGGCTTTAATCTGGAAGAACTGGAAAAGAACAATGCACACAACATATAAGCCATCCAGGGCCCTTCTTCAGCCAATAGCATACTTTTCTGGTCTTTGGGCCTGACAAATGGAACAATGGAGGAAAAAGAAATATCTGAATTGCCAAAGCAGAGGTGATGGGGAAACTGGAGGAAAGTGAGGACAGGGAAGATAAGGAAAGGATCTCAGACATGTCCCCTAGACAAGTGAGGCACTCCCAAAGGAATCTATAGTGG